AAAATCAATAATTTTGACCCATACAATGTATTTTTGTCTATTGCTACAAATATACCCCAGCAACTTAAGACTGGTTTTGTGCTCCAGGGTCACATATATGAGCTTACTCTCTCCTATAGGGAGCAACAGACACTCTTCCACCTTACATCATAACAGAGGCAGAAAAACAACAGAAAAGGTGGGAAATGCTTTTTCCGTAATCTAAATAAATGATTTATTCAAATAATAAATGTAGTTTACTCACCCTTTATAAAGCAGCATGATGTGGAACACAAAAGGAGATGTTTAGCAGAATATCCTGGATCCTCTTTTCCATATACTAAAAGCAAATGAGGTTTGGGACTGTCGGGTTTCAAAAATAAGATATAAAGCACCATAAAAGTGGTCCAAATGACTCGTACACTATGTATGTCTTCTGAAGCCGTATACAGTATGTGAGGAACAAGCTGAAGTTAAATTAACTGCAGATTAATTGTCCCTTTCGTCATAGCTCTCTAAAATCATTCAGTTCCATGTATTCAACCCTTTCACAATGCAATCAGTAATGGCATGAGTTTGGAGAGCTGTCTGCATCAGAGAAATAAATTATGACTTCAAATTTCAGTCTGTTGTGACACAAAGGCTTGACACTATCAGATGAGAATACAAACTTAAAATTAATTTTGCTGAATGCTGTAGAGCTGCTTTATAGCTCAATTGAACTTTAATAATTGAAGAACTTTGCAACATTGACACTGTTATTACTAATACTAAAATGAATCCATATTGAACTGACTTGAGCTGAATAATGACATTTTCTTCTGTAGAGCTGCTTTACAGCTGAAACTGAAGTCTTTTCATAATTGAAATTGACACTGCCAGTTATTTTCCTGTTTATTATTGTGAAGCTACTTTGAAACATCCTGTATTGCATGAATTGCTATTCAAATAAATGTGACTGGACAAAGACTACCTCTAATGGTATGAAAAAAAGTTTGTGTATATATAGTCAAACCAAAGATTATTCAGACACTATAGTTCATTTATGTAAGTGAGGATAGCAAAATAAAGTAAGCGGTGACATATTATATCCAAAAATTCTTCATATAGTGGACTACCAGTAAAATTTATCAAAATTTGGGACCAAAAGTTCTTCAGACACTTTGACCTGACCATTGTTATCTGACATTATGAAATAATGAAGTGTATAATAATGACAAGATGAATTTGTTCTGACACAGTTTCACTCAAGAGTTCTTGTCATATTTTATTACCTTTTTCTAAACTATAGCGAATAAACTGTGATAATGTGAGAAAAGTTGAAGGTGTCTAAATAAATTTTGGTTTGACTGTATCTATTTGATAAATGAAGTTAACCAACTAACATTATAGGTTTAGACATTAATGGCTGTGTGTTATTTTGAGGGGACAGCAAATTTACACTGTTATACAAGCTGTACACTCACTACTTTACATTGTAGCAAAGTGTCATTTCTTCAGTGTTGTCACATGAAAAGATATAATAAAATATTTACAAAAATGTGAGGGGTGTACTCACTTCTGTGAGATACTGTGCCTGTGTGTATATATATATATACACACTCTTTTTCACCTCACTGGTGTTGTAGCTTTATTTGTGTTGTAGCGTATATATGGGACTTACCTGTTTCTTTCTTTCCACAGATCTCAGATGAAGATGGAAATTAGCGAGTACCTTTTGGAGGACGGCGAGGACGATGGAGACTAGCAGATATTTGGTTTAGACTGAAAGTGACTGACAGCTTTAATTCTCTATAGGACTGTATCAAGGGTTACCCTTGCTAATGCATTTGTTCACCCCATTTAAAACCAAATCATAGAAGTATTCCATTGTAATTATTTCATTATTTGTCTTCATTTGTAAATCAATAAAAAAAAGTTACCATTTTTAAACATTTTGCAGTTGCATGATTTGAATTAATACATTTGGCTTGTATTGGACTGTATTTATCATCAGGCACAGAGTAATTTGTAAATACTCCTGTTTTTATTAAATTAATATTTAGTAATAATTCAGACTTAACACAGTCATTAATACAGTAATTTATTTGTGCAGATGGGCAACATTCTTGATTTCTTAATTTAGCAGCTACACAGCAAGGATTTTTTACAGGCTCACATTTGATTTCTGAATAAAAAAAAAACAAAGCAAAGAGTACTTGTTTGTGCCCTTTGCATAACCATACAGTTGAAATGATTATTCCAGCCCTTACAGAAGAAATTTGGGACACTCATTACACAACGTGTGCACTTAAGACATATAAATTACACAATGTCTTAACAACCCTAATTGCTAACCGTAGCATTCCAGCACTTAGCGAATGGAAGTGTGGCACTTGCCACCCTAAAACAACATAGCTGTCAGGTTCAAATTACTTGGTGTTTTTATGAGGAAAAATTACTTAAAGTGTTTGATCAGAAATTGTAAAACCAGGAACAAAATACTAAATGGCTCTCATCCTAAGATACTTTGGCTTGTAAACACTTTTGCTGTAGTTACAAAACAAAAACAAAGTTAAAATGAGTGAAAATCTCACAAAACCCTTTGAAACCATGTGTGGGTCATATTTCAATCCAAAATCACAAGAACTTACAAGCACTTATATACTCTAGAAAGAAAATGCGGCCTACTTGTGTGATAATTAAGATTAGTATTAATTATTTTTTGCATGACAAAATTTCCATGCCAATTAAGCACTCAAAATATTTTGGTTGTGTAATATTTATACATTATGATATATCACAATGAGTAGTAGTTGGGCTCGACTGATAATTTTAATATATTACTGTATTATAGTAATGATAATCATTTAAAAAATCCGGATATAGAAATCTCAATTGTCTTCTACTCCGCAAAATTGTAATGGTCCTAAATTTTCCTATACGAAAACATCTTAAAGGAAAAGTTCACCAAAAATGTTTAATTCTGTCATCATTTATTCAGCCTCATGTTGTTCCCAACCTATTTGAGAGAGATATATATATTTTTTTTTTTTCATCTACTAAACACAAAAGAAGATATTTTGAAGAATGTGGGTAACCAAACGATTTCCGGTACCCACTGACAAGATTGTATATTATCCCTTCCATGCTATGGAAGTCAGTGGGGACAAGCAAATGTTTGGTTACCCACATTTTTCAAAATACCTTTTTTGTTCAACAGAAGAAAGAAACTCAACTTGAATGTGAGTAAATGATGTCAGAAATTTCATTTTTGAGTGAACTATCCCTTTAATAGTCATAAAAAAGGAAATACTTTTATATAGAATATAATTTCCTGTTACTTTGGGATAAAGTATGACCCAGACATGATTTTGTGAGATTCACCCTAATAGTGTTTGAATGTCCTACCATTCTGTGCCTGCTGGTCACTAGTACACTGGATTATCGTCTGCAGGTCCTTATGGCTAGCGTCTGGATCACTCACATTGAGTTGCTTTGAGAGAGGCAGATTTTCAAGCTTGCTGACAAAACTAAACACAGTTCAGGCAGAATAACGCACAGAGGCTTAACCTGACCCCTGAATCATCCAACTTATACAATGTCACAAGCTCACAAGAGCAGTAAAGCTCTACTGGTTCCAGCCGGCCTCAAGGCCAAAGTGGACATTAAGATGCAGCATGTCCATCCATGCGATGCTGCGCCAATCACAAAACAGTTTCAGTCTTCATTCTTTTCTCTAGTCCACTTGATCATGGTCTCTGGAGAGCGATAGAGGAAGATGAGTTTGGAGTAAAGCTCTTCCTCCTGCTCCAGTTCTCCGGTTTCCCGCACTAGGAAAATGTCCATGCATAGCTTGAGGATGCGATCCACACATGGCAGTTCCTCAAACATGATGGAGTGAGAGATCTCGCTGAAAAAGCCTCGTACAAATTTGCCAATGACCAAAACCACCGACACATAGAGACCCATGATCCTGAAGGAGGAGAAGAGAAGTATTTGCAAGAATTTAGAGGAATATTCTGGAACATATAACAGTCACACAATCAAGAAATCAAATGTTTTACAATTGGGATTACAGTGAATACAGTAATAGCCTGTATTGAGTCTCATGAAAGGAAAAAAGGCTGTGTACCCGTATCCTGCTAGAAAGCCCAAACTTGGAGGGCTAACTTTGTCGTTAAAGATGACCATAGGTAGGACGTCACAGGACCCCTTGCAGTCCGCAATGCTGATGTCCCACCACTCCTGAGCTCCAGTGGTATTCACAGAGGCTTCTCTCATCAGGGACAAAGTCACATCTTGATATCCCTCCTCATCACCTGCCAGGACAAAATAGCCAAAATAACATTTCACCTTTTCCCTACGTGGTGGAATATGTGGTGGAATGTATAGATGTTGATTCTACCCTGTTATGCCACATTCTGCTGTTATGAAAATGGCAACTAATTCATTATATAACAAAAATGGCAACACTTTACAATAAGGTCCCATTAGTTAATGTTAGTTAAGGCATTACCTAACGTTAACTAACAATGAATCTATCAATCAATTAATCTATCAATCTATCTATCTATCTATCAATGAATCTACACTGAACAAAATTATAAACGCAACACTTTTTTTTTTGTCCCCATTTTTCATGAGCTGAACTCAAAGATCTAAGACTTTTTCTATGTACACATGCAGAAATGTTTTGGTTATGCAAACCGATTGTTGCAGCAGCTGTTCGGGTGGCTGGTCTCAGATGATCTTGGAGGTGAAGATGCTGAATGTGGAGGTCCTTGGCTGGTATGGTTACACGTGGTCTGTGGTTGGGTTGTGAGGCCGGTTGGATGTACTGCCAAATTCTCTGAAACGCCTTTGGAGATGGCTTATGGTAGAGAAATGAACATTCAATTCACGGGCAACAGCTCTGGTGGACATTCCTGCAGTCAGCATGCCAATTGCATGCTCCCTCAAAACTTGCGACATCTGTGGCATTGTGCTGTGTGATAAAACTGCACATTTTAGAGTGGCCTTTTATTGTGGCCAGCCTAAGGCACACCTGTGCAATAATCATGCTGTCTAATCAGCATCTTGATATGCCACACCTGTGAGGTGGATGGATTATCTCGGCAAAGGAGAAGTGCTCACTAACACAGATTTAGACAGATTTGTGAACAATATTTGAGAGAAATAGGCCTTTTGTGTACATAGAAAAAGTCTTAGATCTTTGAGTTCAGCTCATGAAAAATGGGGGCAAAAACAAAAGTGTTGCATTTATAATTTTGTTCAGTGTATCTATCTATCAATCAATGAATCCATCCATCCATCCATTCATCCATCCATCCATCCAGATCTGACTATCTATCTATCTAATATATAAAAATATGTATGATAGACCAAGGAAGATATGGATATTTAAGTTTTGATGTACATTTGAAGAATATTTAAGTTGGATGTACATACAGTATATGATGTTACACATTGTTATCAGTATAAATTAATATTCACTATGTCTCAAACAGGGTGGAAATCCCTCACAATTCATTGGAAACAAATTGGGGGAAATTCACTAAGAATGTATTGTGCCTGACTAAAACACTAAAGAGATGTTTGAATCCTTTTTTACCATCATACAGCTGGCTGACAGGTTTGGCTTCAGCTCCAGTAGGTGCTCTGATGTAGTTAGGAAACATGTGCGGCACATGCCTACGAGAGAATTACAGAGATGATCAAAATCAGAGTGAGTCCAAAAACAAGGCCGTAAACATGTCTCGAACACTGGGGGAAAGTATTAAGAAATAGAACAATGAACTATACACTTTTATTTGTATACAGTACCTAATATGTTGAAAATGCAAAACGTTTCATGTCGCATTCAGTTAGGAATTACATGAATCACATCAATTATACCATATTTTCAATTAAAAAGTCAATATCTTAGAAAAAAAAGTTGAGTAATTTGCATCATTGGATGGTACTGCCGGTTGTTTAACATTTCTATCATAAAACAGTTGTCAAATATTAAATGTTTCATCACTTCCAACTTACCACGCTCTCTTTCAACATTAAAACTGACGCTTCACAATGGAATTCAGGCTCTGCTTCTGTTAACTCTAAACCCTGCCTACTTTGATTTGAGTGGCCATCTCAATCATTTTTACATTGATGAGTGTTGTTAGACCTCTGAGGCAGACCAGCTTAAAAATTTAACTTTTAAACCTTTTTGTCATCCTAACAACAAACAGAGCATTACGGAGTGCCAGGGGCGGCGCCAGATAATTTTGAATGCAGGTGCTGAGGGGGCGCTAGATCTTTGACAGGGGAAGCTGGGCAATTACTAATAATAATACTAATAATAAACAAAAAAATGTGTGGGGGTGCTATGGGGGTGCTTTGGTCTTTCTTGGGGGTGCTGAAGCACCTGCTAGCCCCTCCCTAGCGCTACCCATGCGGAGTGCAGCAGAGCAGTGCAAGAATTTTAAATATTGGGTGGGGGAAATTTGGCCATTTCTATTTATTGGGGAGGAAATTCTCTCTGTCTATGGTGGTTACATCCCTGTGCAAAATAGGCACTTGCTAAATAAGAGTAAGGGACATAAGAATTATTATGATAACTGCAAAGTTTTAATAATCATTCTAAATGTATGAGAATCAGAAAGTCCACACTAAAACAGTAACGACACAGGGGAACGTTATCGGTGGAATTACTTTCAGATTGCAGGACAGCATATATATAGTCTGGAAATGCATGGTTAAATTATTTTTATTAGTGACAACGTTTGATTTGGGAGCTAGGTTATGTGGATGAAACTAATTCTAGATGATTTTGGATGGATTCTATGAAATGTGGCCTACTTCGCTACAGATGAGACCTGGATGGTAGTTGAACACTTGAACACGTTTAAACAATTGTTTACTTTCTTCCCCTTTGTGAGTAATTTTCCCTTTTTAAGAAGGTCGAGAAAAATGTGCGTTCCCTACACCATAAATGCGATGAGCTACAGAGTATAGCAGTGAAAAATAATTCAGCTGTTGTTGCCGAGACTTGGTAAATGTTGATATTCCAGATTCATCTGTAAATTTTCTTGGATATACACTGCATCAGTGGGATCGTGAGGGCATTATGAGATAAGGACATGACTGCAGCCGGCAATGAGGCCGAAACCTCTGGTTATATGGTGCAAGAAGGCTTTGGCTTTTTAATTTTACTTAACATTATTTTATTTATCCATTACACCGAAGAGACCTTTTTGAAGGATATTGTTTTTTTGTTATGTAATTTTGAGGTGTTTATTTTGGTTTTAGAAAATAAATGTGATTGCTCTTCTCACAAATCAACTCTTTCGTGTTTTTGTTTCATGCTCTCTGTGCCTTGCCCTGGACTTTTATGTCACTTCCTGTCTCATGTGGTGTTTGTAGTCCGTTTGTTCATTGGTTCCCCTTGATTAGTCTCCCCAGGTGTGTCTTATCTTGTTAAGCTTGTTAGCCCCCTGTGTGTGTATATATATATAGCCCTAGTTTTTTTTTTAGTTCCTTGTGAGCTGTCGAATGTAAAGGTGCCATAGAATGGAAAACTGTATTTACCTTGGCATAGTTGAATAATAACAGTTCTGTACATGGAAATGACATTGTTCTATGCCAGCCGCCAGCCGAACCTGCACAGCCGAATCATCATAAGTTCTGCAGGTATTGTGAAGAAACAAGCGAGGATAGCGAAAAAGGCAGATGATGGAAATAAATGTTATGTTCCAGGCTGTGCAGGGGATGTGATGTGCAGGGATGGGTTGGTGTCTGTATTCAGAAAGGCACGGAAAACAAATAACGCGCGTTCTAATAAAA